CAATCATACAGTTTAGGATAAAACTTTATATCGTGGCTTTTTTGAGCGAATGGCATACTTTTTTGCACTATCCTTCCTTTCTAAAAGTTCACTTGTGAATTGGGCTTATTTCTTCACCTTTCTTTAGCTTACTTGAAAAAATCGGGAAATTTCGCTCACCAACATTGACCACAATGAGCGCTTTTAGAAGCACCATCTCCTTTGGCGTCAGTTGAAGCTGTTTCAAATGACGCGTGGTCCATTGTAGCAATGCACGAATAGCATTCACCGATAGAAAGCTAAGGCGAATGTTAAGACATAGCGTAGGAACCTATCTAAAAGTGCTTACCAGTTCTTCGGGGATTGCATATCCGTGCTCAGGTATGTATTATTGGGTAGGGGAAGGACCTGCAGTGCTGCACAGCTTGTTTTCGCTTGTGCAGCAGTTGCACAAGACCGCGCACCCAGCTCCAGAAGAGTCAAAGGCACGCAGCACGCCCGCAACAGCGCGATCTGAAAGATTGGAGATTTCTAGGATAGGCAATAAGCTAAACTTTGTTTCAGGATAAAATTCATAATTTCTCCTAGTTTTATGATTTGATGGAAAACCTAGGAAGGAATGCAAGAATTATTAAAAAGCAATGCTGTAAATCTTTTTAAACAATATTCTAACATTCTCTTGGGAGGTAAAAGAAAGTAGGTTTATTGAAAATTCTTCAATTAAGAGATGCAACCCATTCTCAATAATTCAGAGTAGTTTTCAAAAAAGCACCTTATCCGCGTTGCTGATAGCGTCTTCCATGTCCGCCACCTGCCTCGTCCAGTCGATCGCCCAAGTTAGAAGACGGCGTTCGCTCTCAGCACATGCGAGTTCATCCGCTTGCTCACATGCTCGGAAACACATCTGCAGAGAAAATGCTAAGCAGTAATTCAATTTCGTTTTTTCTCCCTCAGTCAAACCAACTCAGTACTATTTGTGCAGCGAATCATACCTCAGTACGGTCAACATCAAGTATTTCAGGTTCATCCATTACCATTGCCAACGAAACGAAATCGCGCCCAAGTGACATTTTACCATTACCGTCGCTGGCGGTTCTATCGATGAGCATCAACGAAGAAATGAGCAGACGATGATCCATACGTTGCTGTTTTATTGCAGGCTGTAATACATTTCCAAGTATTTCGTTGGCGACTCACAACTAAATTCAAAACTTAGAAAGTAAGACCACAAAAACAGAACATTGAACTTCTTTGCTTTCTACGTTTTTTACTTGCAGAATGTAAAGACCATTCCCTGATATCAGCTAGCTAAAATATAATACGAAGAAAGCATGAGGGAAAAAGTGTGCGCAGTTGTGCCAATTTTTAAAGACAAAACAAAATCCTAAATGTAGTTCAATAATGAAGTACAAGAAGTGCAAAAAAGTGTATTTGAATTTTTCTGCTTACGCTCTCCGCCTCTTATTTCCATTTTTGTGAAGCATTTCTCATTTCTCGTTTTGCAAGTTTTTCTTTAAAAATTTTTCACTCTTTTACACTGTGGTACCGTGGGACCATAAAGATTTCTATTTTTCTCTCTTGAGTTCATTTTCAAGTCTAACTTTTGAGAACACAATCATCTATAACCAACCGTTTCAATATTTTCCTGATTTTCGTAGAACTCATCGTTGTCAGGCTCGCGTTTTCTTTTTAAAACCTTGTCGTTCTTCTTGTCCATACGAACAGCTGTAAAATGCAAATTCCATTTAATCAGAGTCTTTGTACGCGCCGCTTCTCATGGTGTCCCCGCCCTTCTTACAAATTTATTTTCTTTCTCATCGTGGAAATTCCATTTGTGATGTTTGCGCCAAATTTGATGCAACCACAACTACGAATTTTATCACTGATGCAGAATAATATTTTCGACTCGACCATGCTGCGGCTCTGCATCGTTAATCCACCGTAACCCGCGCGTAAAGGTCACCCGATCACGTATCGCTGCTGTTCCCGATAACTTAGCGCACACATTGTAGGTGTAAAAGAGGAAAATGATCAAATGCTATTTACACTTAATGATGCGGAAACCCAACGTGATCTACTGCGTTTTGTCCTCCCAAGCAAGTGCTACATAACCCACCTTCAAGTTTCATCCCGGATTTTAAACAACGATTGAAGCGACAATATCGACAAGCATTACGGCCAGCTGTAAACTAAAATCATTAGGTTGTAGACTGTAATCGGGTGCATATGCTTTTTTTT